GGAAGCTCATCTGCATGCTCGTCGTCCTCATCGGGGTCTCGACCTGACTGCAGTTCGTCGTCGTAACCGACTTGAGTGGGCAAATGCTCACATTCGATAGTGCCTGGCACTTTGGAGAAGTGTTCTCTTCACGGATGAATCCCAGTTTTCACTGTACAGGGCAGATGGCAGACAGCGTGTATGGCATCGTGTGGGTGAGCGGTTTGCTGATGTCAACGTTGGGAGTACAGAGACACGCGGTTTTATCAAACATTAAAATTGAACTGTTTAATACACAATCCCTCACAAACAAATCCTGCTTCATACATGATCACATTCGGGACAAAAGTTTGGACATAATGTGCCTCACAGAAACCTGGCATCAACCAGATGTTTTTTTTCTGTTTTAAATGAGACCTGTCCCCCTGCCTACCTTTATTTCCAAAAAGCTCCGTAGCACTGTCCGTGGTGGTGGCCTGGCTGTCATCTATCGCAGTCATCTGGATCTGTCCTCTCTGGCCCTCCCTGAGCTGTCGTCCTTTGAATGTCTGGCATTTAATTGTAAGCCCCCTTTCCCAATGACAGTACTCTACCGGCCACCCAGTTATTTTTTTTTACTTTCTGTGCAACCTCTTCCAATATAATAATACTTGGAGATTTTAACATTCATGTCAACAACCCCTCGTGCCATCTTGCTACATAATTCTTGCAGTTATTGGACTGCTTAAACCCACACACACCAAAGGGAACATTCTTGATTTGCTCATTACTGAGTCTGCCCCTCTAAGTGCACCATTTGTGTATGATCTGGGTGTATCTGACCATAAGGTCATCTCCATGGAGCTGCCTTTTCTGTCTCTGCCTTTTCCCACATCAAGCCCAAATGAAAAATACGTTTCAGAAACCTGAAAAACATTAACACAGGAAACCTGACCTTAAGTCTTCAACATCTCCTTTCTGTAAATGTCTCATCAGTCACTGAATCTGTGGAATTTTATAATAAGACATTGAGCAGCATTTTTGATCTCCATGCAGCCATCAAAGTTAGGACAATTATGTTTTCCCACTCAGCTCCCTGGTTCATAAGTGACCTGCGGAAAATGAAGGCAGCTGGACGTGCCCTTGAGCGGCCGTATGGCCTATCGGGACCACCAAAAAGCTTATTTGAAGTCCATCAAAAAAGCATGGTCACAGTACTATTCAAACATTATTCAAAATAGTTCTGGCAATTCCAAACAGTTGTTCTCCACCATAAATCATCTCCTTAAACCTCAAATTGCTCCACTCACAGGAGCTACAGAGGAACAATGCAACGATTTTATGACCGTTTTTAAAACCAAAATTGCCAAAAAAAGCTCCTCCCTTTTTGTTCCCTCCTCCTTGTCTGCCCCAACTGCTGACCCGCAGTCTGGTATTTCGAGGCTGCTCTGCTGCTTCTCAGAAGTCACTCAACATGAGGTTGAGGACACCATCAGGGGGATGAGATCCTCCACCTGTGCCCTCAACCCCTTTCCTACACCTCTGGTGAAAGCAAATATTTCACACAACTATTAGCCAATCATAGCAGTGGGCGTTTATTTCTGAGTCTACAAACCACCATGCCTATTTAAACAGAACGTTTCAATAAGGGGGGGGTCAAAACAGGACAGTGTTTATAAAATATGCTTAACCTGATAACCCGCACCTGGACGCGGGCGCACTGAACGCTCTTTGTTTGCACGTGTCAATGTTTACGAATAGATTAAATGAAAAGGGACAAAATTAATCTTGACAAACTATACATCATTCTAAAGGTCTAAGCCTCAAGCATCGACAATAGATCGCTGTTTTTCAATGGAAAGCATATAAGGAATGTATTTGCTAAATTTGTGTAAACATGCATAATAAAAACGCAGAACATACCAGATTCATTGTAATAATGAGTCATAAACGCATCCACTGCTGTAAATCCCAGTTTACTTAGAAAGGCTAAACAACATCCCATGTTGCATGTTGTAATATGGATGGTTATTCCTTTGTTTATGTCTCATTTCTTCGGGGAGAGTTATTGTTTGTATCCGTTATGGAATAACTTACGCTCAAAAACCTGCATCTTGGTAGTAAAAAACAACATGTTTTATAGCATACAGTGTCACAAACTGAATGAGACCATCCGCTTAAAAAAAAAGTAAAAAATATGCGGAATCTTGTTTATTTGAATTCTGGTGCTCTCTCGTGACAGCTCGTCATGCACACTGTGATCTGATGGGGGCGTAACTTAGCGATCGGCTTTTTGCACAAATAATTATTTTTTTCTTCAACATTTTTCATATATAGTGTGTGTGTTTTGTGGGGAATGTGGCTGTATCTGCATGATTACCATCTGTATGACCGCACATCAGCGTGTGATTACTGACTGTATGACCAGCTATCAGTGTGAATGCTGTCTATATGAACGGCCATAAGAGTGTGACTATTGACTATATGACTGGCCATCTGTATGATTATCATCTGTATGACCACACATCAGCATGTGATTACTGACTGTATGACCAGCTATCAGTGTGAATGCTGTATGTCTGGCAATCAGAGTATGTACTTGAAATACAAAGCAAATTCTTTTTTTTCTCTCTTCTTTTTTTTTCCTTCTTATTACTCAAAAATTATTCTTATTGTATTTTTCTAGTGCTCAAATAAATCACTTATACGATGTCTAAGATTCAGTCTATTATTTTATAATTAAAAAAGTATGCAGTGGTATGTATAATGACTAAAATAGTTTGTAGAACCCTTACATTTGTAAGGGTTCTACATATAGACATAGTCTCAGAACAATGGCTGCAGGAATCTCATTTTTCATGGTATCTTCTTCAAATTTGAAATATAAACTCATGAGACATGTGACTTTCAACCCATTACTTTTCTGGATTGCCCAAGGACTGATTTCATGTATTTGTATATGAAATAAAAAAAACATTCAGTGTGGTACAATTTTTTTCAAGGCACTTCAGTGTCTATAACTTTTTATCTTTTTGAGCATTATCAACTCTTTCCGCTTAAAAAAAAAGTAAAAAATATGCGGAATCTTGTTTATTTGAATTCTGGTGCTCTCTCGTGACAGCTCGTCATGCACACTGTGATCTGATGGGGGCGTAACTTAGCGATCGGCTTTTTGCACAAATAATTATTTTTTTCTTCAACATTTTTCATATATAGTGTGTGTGTTTTGTGGGGAATGTGGCTGTATCTGCATGATTACCATCTGTATGACCAACATCAGCGTGTGATTACTGACTGTATGACCAGCTATCAGTGTGAATGCTGTCTATATGAACGGCCATAAGAGTGTGACTATTGACTATATGACTGGCCATCTGTATGATTATCATCTGTATGACCACACATCAGCATGTGATTACTGACTGTATGACCAGCTATCAGTGTGAATGCTGTATGTCTGGCAATCAGAGTATGTACTTGAAATACAAAGCAAATTCTTTTTTTTCTCTCTTCTTTTTTTTTCCTTCTTATTACTCAAAAATTATTCTTATTGTATTTTTCTAGTGCTCAAATAAATCACTTATACGATGTCTAAGATTCAGTCTATTATTTTATAATTAAAAAAGTATGCAGTGGTATGTATAATGACTAAAATAGTTTGTAGAACCCTTACATTTGTAAGGGTTCTACATATAGACATAGTCTCAGAACAATGGCTGCAGGAATCTCATTTTTCATGGTATCTTCTTCAAATTTGAAATATAAACTCATGAGACATGTGACTTTCAACCCATTAATTTTCTGGATTGCTCAAGGACAGATTTCATGTATTTGTATATGAAAAAAAAAACATTCAGTGTGGTATGAATAGTAAAGCCTAAGGTGTCTTCTTTCCAAATATACCTAAATTGTGTGTGTAGCACACTGTTGTCAGGAACTGTTACCATGTAAAGTTAGGTAGGTCATTTTTAGCTGTGAGTCCCAAAATGGGGGGAGCAGGTTAACAGGTTAAATGTCCTAATGTCTGTCGTTTTAATTTGTATTATTTTATTTATTGTATTATTATTACTATTATTTTTAAAATATTCTGTTGAATCAATAATCGACAGCATTTTTTAAAGTTAAATATGGAATAAACCATGTAGATGTCAATTACTTTAGTAAATTTTAAAGAAAATCAGGGTTTTGTTTGTTTTCTCTGCTTTTTTATGTTTATGTAGTGCTCTCTTTCTGTTTTTTTTTTTTTTTTTTTTTTTCTTTTTTAAATTTAATTCCCCTTTTTTTTTTTTTGCATTGTGATCTTGCATTTTGTTGTGCA